ATTCATAATTTTCTATAGTTCTTCCAGCAATATCTAGACTTTAAAAAATGGGGGGAAATGATAGTGATCAGAAAGATATGTGCATCAAATTTCTAAAAAATAAAATCATGTTTAAAATTCCCCTTCTATAGTTATCAAATCACTTGTGGAAAATGTGTTAACTTGTTTCATATTCTGTACTGTGAATTTTTCCTTATTAATGGTTGTTATTAAACCCTATAGTATGTATATTATTAAGGAGCTTCCAAACCTCTCCTAGATGTGTATGGAAATACAGCCATAGTACCAAAGAACTTAAAAACCTAAAATGATAATTACAATTAGAGAGGCACATACTTTCCCTATTTTTAGAGACTTCAGAAATACCTACTACTGATGATTTAAAGAGAGAGATTAAATTCCAAAGGCCCTACTAAAATAAATCTCACAACCAATTACCACTTTCAATTCTCTTTTTTTTATTTGTGCAGTGGACAACAAATTGTCCTTGTATTGTAGTATTTTAGCAATTTTAAACCCTGTACTGAAAATGATTGAAGAAATTGAGACATAGCATGAGTAAAGAGGAACATACCATACACTGAGCTTTTGGTGAATAGTTTACAGCTGCATTTACAGATGTTAGCATGGCTACACTGACTTTTTTCTTAGTTATTTTCCAGTAAGGTGTTAGTCCAGCTGCTTAAGAACCAGTGCCAGTGTTGTAACAAAATGCTAGCAAACATTGTTTTTTTTTCCTGAGTACTTGTTCCAGATTTACTGGAAAATAGTGGAACGTACCTTGTTCTAATTTGTGGTGCATCCAAATTGTTCATCAGATGTTTTCTTAGACAAGAATTTGTGAGTGCACGTATTGGTTTTGATACATTGATTTAACATTCTGTAAAATACACAGATAATCGCATTGGCTATTAATTTATTCAAAATACTTTGCCACTTGCATGTCCTAAATTTTAGTAAATTGTTTACCTAGAATGATTATTTCTGGTGTAAATTATCACAAAGCATTTAAATGCCACTAATTTTAATGAGAAATAAGCATGCTGGCACAGTAGTGAATAAATGAACCAATGACTATGGGACTGAACTAGCTTACTGATTTTCAGTGTGACAATATAGTTTAAATCCTTCTTACTATTTTCAGCATGGAAATCAGAATCTATTCTGCTAACCTTCTGAGCTTCTAAATTTGGTGTCATGCAAGGGCGTGTTTAAAAATTAGCATTTAAAAAGAAACCCACTTGCTTTAAGTTTAAGCTGACACTGTTCCTTTCCTCTGTGGAAATGAAATTTGTTAATCATAATAAAACCATCATATTCTGAAGGTAGAGGTCACCCTGAGGAGAAAAAAAAGTCTATTCATCACAGAGGAATTTCAATGTGTTTTTTTCCCAGATAATATCTGAGCATGTATTCTCTCCCCTTTGGAAATATATTCTTCCATGTTTGTGCTTACATATGTCAAGTGTATTTAGAAGGGTGCAAGAATGAGAATTTTGCAATTAATTTTATATACTTTATTTTCTTTTACAGAAGATTTGGAAGAATGCTTTTTACATTTTATTTTGTTTTATGTTTACATTGCACACATTCGTTCAAGTGGAATTTCAATATCCTGTAAAAGAAAAGGAAGAAGTGTTTCTTATTTTAACAAGAATATAAGCGTTGCTAATTCTGAAATACCATTTTTATGTTAATATCACAGCACAGACTTCAGCATTATCATAATATAAATGTAAAGCATTCTTTTTGAGGAGTAAGCATTAATTTAGGTCACAGTTTTCATGTTAGGATTACTTCACAACTCTTTCGTTTTAAGGAAGAGACATGGTTTACACAGTAGGATGAAAAAAAAATGTAAAGCACTAACAACAAGTTATTACTATTTTGGCAAAAGAGTAATAAAAATGTACTCAGAAGTAAATACTGGGTTGAAACAGTCATTTTTTCTTTCTTTTGAAATTGCTTAATGTGTTTGTTTATCTATATTTTCCTCTTAGTTGTCCAGATTTCTGTAAAGTATTGATGTAATACTATTAGCAACATGTTTTATTACATTGGTGTTGTAAACTTGCTAGTTACTTCAGTAGTTGGGTTAAATATACAAATAATTTAATAAAGCCTGAGCTTTATTAAAGCTCATGTATTCAGGCTTGTTCCTTCCTTAAAAGTGGCCTTTGCATTTAGGCCACTTAATCCCCTGCCATGGGTGACCCATTAGACTTTCAGTTTTGTGGGGCACTGTGACATAGTCAAGGATCCTGCAGGAATGGGATGCAGCATGGAGTCAAAACGCAGCCCTACAGCAGGAAATGGATCAGAGCAGTGGGGGGAAAAAGCTTACAGAGTAAGTCCCAGTGTAGTTAATGGTTTACACTAGACCAAAACTAATGTAATTCTTACAGGTCTAAATTTACAGTCCATGTTCAGTACTGCAGTAATACCAGTTAATCGGGGGGGACAGGGGGGAAATTTGAAAATGTACCCATTCCCATTGCTTTAAAAATAATAGTCATGACATTAAAGCAAGTGTAATAATAGTACATGCAATTCCTCCTCCATGTTACTGGGGATATGAGGGAAATTTATAGTGCTGGAAACAAGTCCAGCTTTAAATTAATCATTTTCCCTTTCTAGATTTTTTTCTTACTGTTTGAATGAGATTTGGCTTGAGAGAATTAAAATTATAATGATGTTTAGAATGGATTCTCAGACTTTAAAAATGGGCATGCACAGGAAAATAAGGTGTTGTCTTCACTTCAGTGTAGCTGAACAAGACATACGAGATTCTGTTATGGCTACTATCAAAGCTAAGTATTTTAAATTGCTAAATATTATAATGTTTGCATCCTAATGTGGAGGGTTACCGAGGCTGAGGTTTATGGAAGTTCTTCCAACCAAGGAGGCTCCGGAGCATGGGGTCAGCGTCCTGTTCAAAGAACTCTTATGCCCCCTTTCCAACTCAAAGGATCACGAAGTGTCATTTACCCAACATAGGCTGATGTGAGCTATTTTTCCTTCCATTTTTTTCAGTGGGAACTGCCTGGTTTCTTTGTTGTTAACTGCTTTGGATGATTTCTGAAGATAGGTATTTATGGACACCAAGTGTTTAAATGGAAGTGATATATAAATTTAATCCTTCACTCATCAATATATTGGATGCAAAAGAGAAATTAATATGTTTTACACAAGTCTTTTACACATGTTTTCCTGAATTTAAGACCATGAGATAGAAAGTGATTGCCCAACATGCTGCTTCCCCTGGATATTCATGTATATCTTCGATAGCTATGAGGACTTCTCTGCCCAAATCTAAAGTAAACATAGCTGTGGGGTAAGAAATAGAGTCCACATTTATGAACTTGTGGTACTTTCATAGCTTTAACAGATTAACTCCTTTTTAATGTATTATCCCTTAACAGAAAGTTGAATTCACTGAGTAAACAAGACAGTACAACTGAAGGCATTCAGCTACTATGGTTGTACTTTGTAGTGAAACATCCAGATTTTGCCATAGAATACTTTATAGGAACACTTTACGTTTGCTCAAAGTGCCAGACTCTGTTGCTGGGAAAAAATGGCTTATTCACAATACCAAATATTAACCAATTACACTTTGGAGTTTGTACTTACTGAACTTTTTTCTACTTCTTTTTCATCAAGATGTGTGGTTATATACCCTTCTGCAAATCTGTGACCCTAGGCTTGGTCAGAGAGTAAGAGACATTTATGTAAAGTCGCCGCCTTTTCAGTGCTGAACCCTTTTGCTTTTAGATAGCACAGTTGTCCCAGAAGGTGAGTTACTGGGATTTCCATACGCAATGAATCCCTCATACTCGTGCAAATGTTGGCTCAGAGAAATGGAGAATTAAAGACTATCTTGTCTACGGTAATTTCTGCTCCTTCCTTGAAGATGTCACTGAGTAGGTAGGACTGTCTAGTTCAGATAATTCGGACCTCTTCTCTGCCTCACATCCAGGACCCACAGTAGTGGGTGGTGGAGGATTGATATGCCATGGAAACATTCCTTTCTCAGCTTTCCCTCAGCTGATTATCTAGGAATCGGCTAATCAGATTCCGCTTGTGGAGGAGCAAATACATGATAATAAAATAGGACAACTGTCCTCTTTTCAAAAAAAGTAAGTTTGTATTTGTATCTGAAAAATAAGTTAGTTACGCCGAATAAGACCAGTCTGGGTTTACTGTTCACATAAGGCTAAAAAATAATTATTTTTTTGGAGAGATATCAACAGTATTATTAAAACTTAAGTTGTTTACTACGCTAGCCCTTGTATGCAAGATACCACTATAATTTTAAGATTGGTTTTGTTGTTATATGTGACACCTGAGATCAAACAGAAATTCTTTGATCATGGAAAGAATGTTAGACACTTTCAGTGAAACCTGTATCTAGTTGACATGTCCATCTCACTAATGGTAACTGCATTCAGACTCGGACTGTGAAGCAAAGCTATGTATTTCAAGGTGAAGAGGAGGACTGGGCCAGCATATTGACCAGGTGTACATGTAAAGAAGTTTTGAAGTAGTTTCAACTGTAAGGATTTTGTATGGGGAGAAATGACAAAAATCTAATTTTTCACATCACTGTCTTTGCCTGGTTGTAGCGGGAACTTGGCCTGAAAATTGAGACTTCAGCTGTGCAAGTATCATGGCTTAGGATGACACTCTGTCTCGTCTATAGAAAGACCAGGAACATGCAATAAGCGTGTTCCTTAGAGCTAAGTGCCTGCCATTGTTCTACAGCCACTCTCCTTAGCCTGGTGCTGATTCTTAATAGTCTAGTAAAGCTAATTATACATTTATTGTCATTTGTAACCTTAACATTTCCCAAAGGATATTGCTTTTGAAACTGAAAAGTGAGTTTATCTTTATGAATTTGGATAGAATGGAATATTTAATTCAACCATTTTGTTAATATTGGTAATATCTGTTTTTAACATTTTTTTTTCCATTAATCTTCCACTTTATTTTCTTTTCAG